TGTTTTATGGTTAACCAGTCAAGTGATTTTCTTTCATCCAATGGTAATACTGTGCAAGTAAATGCTCCGGAATTTTGCCCAATATTTTTCATCTTCATCTTGCCTCTGTTTCGAAGCCTCGCCCATGTTCGACTCTTTGCTACCGTCACTGCGCTTTAACTCCACTGTTTCTTTGCCAACGATGTTAAAAACATATGTGCTGAACTTGTTTCATATTCCACTTGATCGACCAGTGCATCCGCTTCTTCATTTACCTTTTTAGCATTTTCATATATTATGTGCTTCGCTGATAAATATTCTCGAGTTGATTCATAATATGCAATGTTTCGTCTTTCTGTTTGTCAATCCTTAATAACAATTCTTTAACGTCTTTTTGTTCAGTATTCGAGTCCGATAGCATTGCCGCCATGTTATTTAGTAACCGTGTCATATGTGATTTTGCACTACGTTTTCCCCCTTTTAAATTCATGATATGTTCCTCAAATTGTTTCTCGTTGACTTTTGTAGCTTGTTCCTCGTCGATTCCTGCTGTTTCTTCTTGGTTCTGTACTTCAATTTCCTCAGCCATCGTTCATAAAAGGCATCAATAAAACTTTAAAGGTTTTGCACATGTTCATGTAGGAAATGGTCGCTCATGTCACCAAGGATAAAACAGATCGATTGCATACAGTACACACAAATTTCCTAAAATGCCAAATATAACATTGAATGAAACATTGTTAGACATTCATATTTGTTGTTAGGTATTGCACTGTCAGCACTACTGACACTGCCCTCGTCACTGTCTTGACTTGTTGAAGAGTCTTCTATAACCCTATTGTGGTATTAACCGTAAATAAATTATATATGTGATTTTAAAAATATATGAATTTATGCAAAACATCTGGTCAAAGAAGTGAGTAGCTATTCAACCGTAACTCAAAGTATATTTATATAGAAAACTTATGCGTACATGTTCTCAAAATCATCAGCCATGCTTGAACATTCTTGCAAATTGCGGTTATTGTTCCATGTTTCGCGCACCAATATAAGTTAGGGTTAGAGGTTAGGTTTAAGGTTAGGGATAGAGTGTGTATATATGTATATGGAGGTATCCAGTTAGCTTTTCGGTACACCATAATATCCATTACATAACGTTTACTATATTGGTGCGCAAAACATGGAACGATTACCCAAATTGCAATGTTTTCCGCCAAGTGAACTTTTGGTGCGAAATGCTTCCACTTTTTGGCAAATTTCATTTTACTTTTATAGTAAATTTTGGTCAGCGTTCAACGTTCCACCTTTTAGTGCTAACCAAATTGAAAAAGAACAACCGGCCAGAGTGCAACTAAAACAAGCAAAATTACAAGGAAAAGTTCTGGAGCGGCTACAACGAACGTGAAAAATGGATTTTCTTTTGCAGCGAGGCCAATGGAATTTTACACCAAGCTTTGACATTTAATGTGGACATACGAGTAAGAAAGTGTGCTGTTGAACTGGAGGACACACTATTACTAGCAAAACTTAGTGCAGGTGATGGTGGTGATCTAATATCCCAAGAGGCAGTTTACCATGCTAAATGTTTGGCCTCATTATTTAAAAGGTATCATCGTTTTGTTGAGATAAAAAATAGTAATTTATTAATTCTAAGAATGAAATTTCATTGTTTCCTGTTGTATTTACTGGGGAATTCCAGGAGATATGTGGCATATTAAAGTCACCAACAAGGATGATATTCTCATAGCAACTGCAAACGTCATTTAGATATAGTGGCTAAAATTGTTTAGCCAATTTTGATTAGCATTAGGTGTACGGTAGCACAAGCAAATCAAGAGTCAATTATTTGAGGATGTAGTTATTTCAGTAAAGATAATTTCTAAATATTGGTTTTGATGAACTTTTCGCACCGATTTAAATGAATCAGTTTTATTAGTTGCAAGTACTCCACCACCTCAAGTTTTTCAATCTTTTCGAAGTATAGTGTAATCTGAGTGCAGGATTTCTGAATTATCTATGTTTCCATTGAGCCAAGTTTCATTGACTCAAACAATATCAATTTGTTCACAATAAATTAAGTGTTGAAAGCAGTTTAGGTTACAAACAGTTTCAAATTCTGTTAGTTTATTGGTACTGCATGATCAAACTATGGGCATTCATGGCTAAGCATTTTACTGACCTATTTACATGGAAATTACAGGGACCAGGGTTAATAGCAATGTCTCCTGACAATAACAGAACGTGCAAGTTATTATTTTTGATTTGAAACAGCAAGCCATAGCGATAGTTGGAGGATAATGAACATTTCTTTATATATTTATATCATGTGTTGATATCCTGATGTGGCTTAATTAGTCTACCAGATATAGATATAAGTTCTGCAGAAATAGTAACATTCTTTGACGTAGTGGAGGAGTTTTGTGAAACTAGTACCAGTTGAGATTGAGGTAGAAGGCAGAGAAATAAAGCAATGAATAAGAGCCAACCAGAAGTCAAATTGGATAAGCTTCAGGGAGTGGGCAAGTTCATTGTAATAACCTTTTAATGCAGAGAGAAACCAGATATGTTGATGCTACATGATAGTATTCACAATCACAGTGACCACAAGAACACAAAAATTGAATGAATGAATGATAATAATATTTATGCAGGAAACCAACATCACAAGAAGTGTTTTTCAGATGGTTCCTGCAAAACATTAAAATACAAAGTATAGAAAATATATATAGTGTGCATGCAGTATTTACATATTGGTATATATGGATATATATATATATATATATATGATATACCAGAGAAATTATGAGACTATAGGATACATGATGCTATGCATATTTACAAGGATACAAAGAGTTAGTAAGTTATATTTTAAATATACTGTATGAGTATTATAAAGATAGAAATTTGAGAAGTTCATTCCTAAAGGTTCCTAATTGTTTAATGGATCTAGTATTATAGTTCAAATAGTTGTACTCTTTACAAGCCTGGTAAAGCAGTTTTTGCTTTCCCCAGTTTGTCTTCAACTTACAGAGGTATATATCATCTCTGCGTCTTGTGTTATATAAATGATTAGTTTTAGGCAGTTTGAGATTAAACTCTGTTAAATTATTTTTTAATTTATATATGGTTAGTATTCGGTGTAGTTTGCGTCGGTGGGCAAGTGGATGCCAGTGTAATTTGTTGAGGGCTTCAGTGGATGAGGATAGGTAGGGAGCGTCAAGAATGGTCTTTGCAGCCTTATTCTGGAGAACTTGTAGTTGATCCATTAAGGAGGAGTTATTCTTGTCACCCCATATAATATCTCCGTAGTCAAATAGTGGAAGAATAAGAGCGTTGTAGATGATAAGTCTAGTTTTGAGTGGAATGAAGGTTTTAATTCTTCTTAGCAGTCCGATGCGTTGGTTAATTTTTGTTGAAATATTATTTAAATGGTCAGACCAAGTGAGATTTTCTGAGAAAGTTATACCTAGATATTTAAAGGTATGTTCACGGGCCAGTTGATGTTCGTTGACATGTATGGATATATTAGTGAACGACTTCAGACGGCTGTTACTACCAAACAGGACGAACTTAGATTTTTTGCAGTTCAATGTAAGTAAGTTTTGATCAAGCCACTGAGAGATCAAGTTAAGGTCCTCCTCGTTTACATATTTCTCAATGTCACCAGCTGACTTGGATGAGTAGTATAGAAGAGTGTCGTCAGCGTAGAGTAATAATATCTTGCAGTGTTTAACAATGTTGGGCATATTGTTGATATAAATAATGAAGAGAAGTGGCCCTAAAATGCTTCATTGTGGAATGCCGACTGACACGGGTAGAGAGCTGGACAGAGTATTGTCAATGGATGTTACTTGTTGACGAGAGGAAAGGTAGGACTCGAACCAATTTAGGGTATTGTCATCCAAGCCAACAGATTTTAATTTACAGAACAGAATAGCATGGTCAACGGTGTCAAATGCTTTCCTAATGTCCAAGAAAACAGAGGCAGTAATCAGACTGTTATCAGCATTTTCAAGAATGTTGTCTGTAAAGAAAGCCAAAGCAGTTCTGGTCGATAGTTTAGGTCTAAAACCAAATTGATTTGAAGTTAGGATTTTGTTTTCGGTTAGGTAGTTGTAGATTTGTGTGTGAACAAAACGTTCCAAAATCTTACTTAGGGTTGGCAATACTGTAATAGGTCTATAATTTGACATGTTCGAGCGCTCCCCAGATTTAAAGATAGGTGTGACTCTACCGTTTTCCAGATTTGGGAGAAAGTAGAGGAGCTTAGCGATAGGTTAAATATTTGGGTTAGCGATGGGGCTATGACTACGGCAGCATCTTTTAATAGTCGAGCGGTGATACGATCAAGACCGGTGGATTTGTTCGTTTTTAGTTTTGATAAATTCTTGAGAACAGATGTAATTTGAATCTCTTGGAATTTGAAGGTTGAATTGACTCCTGGTGGTGGATTTCCGGGAGACTGGGATTGCATACATTTTTGTTTGATCGCATTTGCCAAAGTTATTCCATTAGTGGTAAAGAATTTATTGAATAGAGATGACATAGATTTTGTGTTCTTGTGTTCTACACCGTCCGTTATAATTGAACTTGGAGCTGAGGATTTTATGTTGCGGGATGTCAACTCATTCAAAGTTTTCCATAGACCAGAAGGATTGTTTTTATTCTCTTTTATCAGGTTTTCGTAGTATTGGGATTTACATTCGCACACTTTTTTGTTTACGAAGCAGCGGTATTTGCGGTATGCAGACCAGTGTGTTTTTGACTGGGTTTTTTGTGCCTTCTTTAGACGATGGTCTCGTTGTTGCATTGCCTGACTTAGCTCTGCTGTCATCCACAGGATGTTCACTCCCTTTCTTGATTGGCGCGTGCAGATCAGCTATGTCAGTAAAACATTTGCACCAGTTGTCAACGGTAGCAGTAATATCGTTATCATCTACTGCAGCAGACCAATTGTTATTTCTAAGATCTTGCAGAAATGACTCTTTATTGTAGCGTTTGTAAGAGCGGTATTCAATTATACATGGCGGGGCTTTAGTAACACCAGCTTTAAAGACGCAAAACACAAGAGAGTGGTCACTCAATGCACAAGGAATCACACCACTTCTGACAATTTTCTGAGTATTGTTAACGAAAATCAAGTCAATCGTGGTCTGTGATGTTTCTGTGATTCTTGTGGGTTCTGTGATTAGTTGGTCCAGGTGGAGCTGGCAAGAGAGATTATTCAGTAATCGTTTGAAAGGAGATCGATTGTTCTTGCTAAGGTCAATGTTAAAGTCACGCAGCAAGATAAACTCGCTGTTGTTTGCAAGTTTGTGGATGATGTTTTCCAATTCGGTGATGTAGTTTTCAACAGGATTGTTTGGGGCTCTGTAAGCGCAACATATAAACAGTTTTTTAGCCTTAGGTCGTAAAATTTCAACCATACAGTTTTCCAAGGTATTATTTCTTAGGTCCGATTGGGTTTTAAAAGGTAAACCATCACGAATATATATAGCAGTGCCACCACCGATTTTTCCATGACGGTCCATTCTGACAATTGAATAGCCAGGTATAGCTACGGAGTCTGAGATACTTGGTTTAAGCCATGTTTCAGAGATTGAGAAGACATCAAATGGATTATATTTCACTAGTAATCGGAGAGAGTCTATTTTTGGCAGTATGCTTCTTGTGTTTAGGTGGGAGATCTTTAATCCATGTACGTTAAGTTTGGGTATTGAGAAGTTGCGGACGGGACCAGGGTTAGTGGAGACGTCATTTGATAGAGATATAAGTGTCAAAGAGATAGAGAAATTCATTGCGATGTGAAGTCCACAGATTAGTTTCAAATTTGCCGACAGCGGCTTATGTCCTGTAGGGCGACGGGGATTATGGAGATGAGAGTACTCTTTCATGCCAGGATTTGACATTAATCGAGATGCATACAAAAGTTCTATAGTCAAGAGATTCTGGTGTGGCATGGGATGCGTCTCTGCTTAAGCTAGATAGGTAGAGGTATATATTTAATATAACCAATAAATTACACGAGGTGAGGATCAATACAGCAAATGCCATTATAAACTATATGCCAGACAAAGGTCAAGGAAAGTTGTGTTATGTTCAAAACAAGGGTGCCACGCAATAAATTTAAGAAGTTTCCTTATGATGATGTTCTGTGGTTGACGTAGTTCACGGGTAGTGCAAAGGAGAGTGTTTAACAGTAGGAGTGCGGATTACAGGATGTCAGTTGTATATAGTTGAGCTTTTTAATAAACGCAGGAAAATTTAAAGTGCTGTTACTAAGCGACGAATAACAAAGTTGTCCAGGCCAACGGTAAAAAATATTTAGTGAGTCAATAGTTCAAGACTAACCAAGAATATATATGCCGGTAAGAAATTCGAACTAATGTTTCACCAGTAGACTTCAACTGAAGCTTTATATCCGTTCAGCAGCGTTATATTTGGTGTTGTATACGAGATTTCAGACAGCAATACTGAAGCCAGACAATAATATATGTGGTCAAAGATAATTACCAAATAATAACACGATTACCAAGATATACCAAGAATAAAGTAGTCCAGATAGATCACAATGTTTTTACAAGAGCAACTACATAAAAGTGGCGATCGAGAGCTTTAAGAATTAATAAATTTTATGTTTTTTTGTGCTACACTTAAAGTGTGTCCAACCTTGAAACCCGAAACCTTAAGGTATTGCACCAAAACCCCACAAAATGAATGAAAATGGCGCTATTCATGAGATAAATGGAAAACGTTTGGCAGCCAGAACTATGATACAACTCTGCAAATCCTTTATGTTGCTGTGAACAACACCAGAAAATTTAAATTCAAAAATTTAAATGGTCAAAATAGTGAAAGTACAATGCATCACAAACCGTATATCCAAATAACACAGAAATTAAACACAAGAACAGGAACACAATTTATAGTTCACTTAGAAAGTTGCAGGTGAATAGAACAAATGATGACAAAGATATGGAATATATGAACCAAAATATTGGGTTGCAGTGTGAGCATGACAGCAATATACAAATCACCAAACGATAATCCAAAATAATTCCTTTCAACTAAATTTCACCGAAACACCATCAATAAATGAACCAGATCTTTAGCATTAAATTGATTAGTAGATCACCAGTATGTAGTTGTGAGATTGCAATCTCCCTGCATGTTTGGCATGTACATGCAGGAGAGAGCAGTTGCTACAGCGTAAATGAGGCAAATATTTGAGCTGACACACATTTCATTTGTCACACCAGGTTTGTTTGTTGCAATGTCATACTCGTAGTATAACACTGTTTTGGCAGATCTTCCATCCCAACCTGCCCTCCCGATTTCCTGGTAATATCACGTGTTTCACCTGCATAAAAATAACTTTCTTGAAGGATTTGGATAAAAAGTTTAAATGCATAACCACACCATTTCAGTGGTGGATAAATACTATTGTTAATGGATAGTTAATTAGTTTTTAGTTCTTTGGCAATTGGACAAAACATTCTCTCATAGCTTTCTGACCCAAATACTGATAGTTCTCGCTTAAGAACCTCTATATAGACGTTTGGCCTGTCTAAGTAACCAGTTACCTAGGTTTTGTAGCTGAAGGGAATACGTCAATAGGCCCATGTTCTTTGGCGGGATTGATGCAGTTAGTTAATGCTAGCAATTGGTGTGCATGGAAATAAGGCCCTAAGTTGGCACAGCTTGCTGAAGTCTGGTCGAAAGTCCTCTCCCCCATTCTTGCACAAGATGAGCTTCATCAACAACAACAACATACATGTAACATTCTTCTGAAATGGTTCACTTCTTAATATTTTCCGGCCTTCTCTGCAAATAAATCCCTCTGGGCGGATAAAGTTAATTTCCTGCATCTTGCTCAAGTTGATTGCCAATGTTGTTTTCATCAGTCTTAGAATCTTATACTTTGTATTACTTGTAATTGTGCACATGTTCTGTGCTTTTGTTCTTAACATTCTAACACACACACACTTTTTCCAAGACTTTTAATTTGGTCCTGCATTAATGCATTCAGTGGTGCAACAACTATCACAATATTACGAGCCTCAGACATGCTGTGGTATTCATGAAGAAATGGCAATAGCTGAAAAATGATAGATTTTCCATAACCTGTGGGTAGAACTCCAATCACATCTCTTCCAAAGATATCAAAGCATCTAAAATTTTGTACTGTTTCACTTTAAGAAATACATCATCAAATTTGCATTTTTTAATGCAAAACCAATGCCATGAAAAATGAAGTTAGTGATACCTTAATTTTAAATAGTAAGTTAAAATGGAAAAGATTAAAGTGGAAGTGAAGTCCGTTCTGCGGATCGGTTCTGCTAATAACAATGTGAGGACCCTCTAATGTGAACATTGCCCAAATTTCGACTGTTTTGAATTTTTCTGAACATAAACTCTATTTCATATTCGTTTAGAAGCATAGAAAACCAAAATGTTGTTAGATATTCAGACAGTACATCATATTTTAAAAAATACAGCAGTTCAAAATGTAAACAAACTGTTGGTTTACATTATGAACTTGACTTCCACTTTAATACTTTAATAATATGATGTATCAACCAATACCAAATCTCAAAATCTAAACAACCAAGAAAATAGACCAGATAATGTGCCGTCAACCCAAGAATTAAATCAACATGTGGTCTAAATAAATTTGCATTGTTTGACTTTTATATACATCACTTGACCCATAAAATGTTTATACTGTCAATCATATACTCCCCGGCTGAAGTCCCCCCCCCCCCATCTCTATCCCCAAAGACTCCAGATAAGTCCCTGTCTAACACACCTGCTATTCTATCATGACTTTCTTTAACAAGTCCCTTTCCAGTTTTTAGATGAAGAAATTTACTTAGCCTCTCTTATTATGATCTCCCTCTCTTATTATAAGCTGTTACTTGCTACTGTATCTAATTCATAAGTACCCTTTCCTCACACAAAAGTCATAAAATATTTTGTAATGGTACAACAGAGACCAGTTGTCGAACAATCTTCATATTCCTT